TACATCTCGACACCTCAAAGAAGAGCAAGGTTTCTTGGTCTGACCAGTCATTGTTCGCACTGCCAGATACACCAGATGGTTGGACGGCGAGTTTGACAAAGTCACCTGAGAAGAGGGTGGATGGGAAACGACCGCCAAGGTAACACGGTGCACATATTTCGAGTTTTTGTCTTTGAGAGAATGGTAGCGGACGAGGGAGCAATCTGCACCGCAGGTATCGCAGATGTGGGCTTGTTGTGGTGGGGAGGGGGAGGAGCCGTTGGCTGAGGCGCCGCTTGCGAGGGTGGTGGCTTCTGAGGATGAGAGGGCTCTGGAGGACTTGGCTGAGGTTTGGTAGATGGAGGAGAGAGAGCTGCTGGTCGTTGTTCTGGGTCGATCTGGAAGAGAGCGCTGAGAAATGACTGGCAAAGACGGTGGTGATTGGTGTTATTACCTGGTAGTGAGCAGGAAAGACGTGGAACAAGATAAGAGACGGGCGTTTAATTTATAAATAGCAATATATTGAAGAACCGTCAGGACAGCCCCTGCCATCCTCATTCGGCGACTGATCACGAGCCTAAACAGACATACATTGTGAAAGGCTGACACAGCCATATGCATGTGCAGGCTGACACAGCCATATGCATGTGCCAGAAAACGTATCTTCTCTTCTTCCATAGGGGTCAAAATGACCAGTCCTCGCCGATCACTACCGTCCACGCCTCCAACACCAGGTACTTGTTCCATCACTGCTGGGCGATTATAGATTATCGCTGACCAAGTGTCTCTGGCAAAGAAGCAGGCACTCAGCAATACGCTGGCCTCTTCGCCAATGCACACCATTTCGTTATGCACAACCCAACATTGTACGATGTGACACAGAATTTTCATTACGGGATTGGCAACAATGGTAGGTAATCCAGTTCGAAATGGATACTGGTGAATGACACTTGCTTGCCCAATAGCCTTGCAGTTACTCGCTAGTAACTCAATGAAAGGGGCGGAATTCGACTCGTCAGAACGCGACCCTCCTCCCCGTTGCCACCCTGGCACACGATATGGGATCATCGAGACCTGCCAAGCCTGGCGCAAGTCCACTAACCCAACAGAACGCATGTTGTGGCTCAATGGAGCTGCTGGCGTTGGGAAATCCGCAATCATGCAGACCATGGTCGAGCTGGAACACAAGTCGGAGCCCAATCCAGTTGGTGCAACACTCTTCTTCTCGAAGTTGAATGCGCGCGATAAGCCGAATCGTGTGATCCCCACTCTCGCCTACCGACTTGCAGTCAAGAATGCGTCATATCTCAATTATGTCGCAGAACAACTTTCGCGTGACCCGAAATTTGTCGAGAAAACGATGGCGGAGCAGTTCAGATGCCTCATCCGGATACCGTTTGGGGAGATGCAGATCTGGAAGGGGCCTTCGTGGTCCATATATATTGATGGCCTGGACGAATTGGAGGGAGAAAA